CTGGGCCAATGGCACGGGGACTCTGGGGTATGTCTCCAGGTCTGCCGGCTCCAGGCAAGGCTGCAAGGCTTTGGTGCTCCTGCAGTGCCAGTCAATGGTTAACATCAAGGTCCGCTGGGGGTCTGGGGGGCAGTGGGCACACTTCTGGCTCTAACAGAGGTACTGTTGGCTGTTGCAAGTGAAACCACTGTGGAGTGGGGTGCACTGCACACAAAAGTTGGTAGAAAGGGATCCGAGGGAATCTGGGCCCGGTACTGACAGTAACAGCTACGATTAGGTTCCCTCCCAGCAACATAACACAGCAGCATCAGGGTTTAGGTCGGCACTGGAGATCTCATAAATATTTGAAGCTAAATGTCTGAAAAGGACTGTAACAGGCGAGTCAGCTGTGGGAAATCCTCAAGAGGAGCAGTTCTCCTGGGGCGGGGTGGGGGGGGCGGGAAGAAGACTGAACCCCATCACGGAACCCCCAGAGAGTCACCGCACCCCAACTTGCCTCTTTAAAAGACTGCCAGATATGTTAAGAATGCAAGTAAGCAAGTCCATGGCTAAAGGACCATTCCTGAAGCCAAAGACGGTTTTTCTCCTCTGTCAAGAGGTGTCAATGTCTTAAGCTTTCTCCTGCCCATTTTAATAACAATAATATAAATATTAAAGGATGGCTGGAACCGCCTGCACTAACACAGAGTTAATTAACATGTTGCCTAGGAATGTAGCAGGGAGAAGAATTATTTCGTGTCACCAAGACACAAGTTAATTAACATTGGGTTCTCCCAGACAATTTCTTTTCCCCTCTTCTTTTTAAAAATGCAAAAGATTAACAAGCCCAGGCAGCACTGGGTTTATTCTTGAATGTTATATAAAACCACAGAGATAGGGAGAAGCTGGGGCTCTTTTGACCTTACTCTATCTGCACTATTTAATAAGATTCAAATGATTTGACAGGGATGTAGTCAGGGGGCCCAATGGGGATCATTTACCCGTCTGCTTTCTGCACTGACTTTTGGCAAACTGGTAGCCGGCAAAATCAGGTCTCTGTTTATCCCAGTTCCATTTTCTTGTAACTTAATAAAAAATGGACCACAATTATAATCATGATCATTGAAAACTCTACTTATTTTCTCTGAACCACCAAGTTTGCAAGGACTTTATTGGAGAATTTAGGGGGGAATAAAAGGCACTTATTCTATCAGTCTGGGTAAACAGATAAGCTTCCTTCACCGTGGAATTGCCTGCATTTTTTTTTTTTTTTTTTAATGTAAAAATGCTCTGAGGGCAGGTTTGGGAGGCAGAGGTAGCCTGGCCGCCAAGGGCACTGGAGTCTAAACAAGCTTCCCTGGGTTGGGTGGTCCTAATGTATTACGGCTGCATGCTCCACAGACCCTGTGCCCCAGGAAGATGGCAAAAAACTGACAGCTATACAGTTGAACAGATCTGACAGTAGAGGGCACAGAGTTACCTGCACGGCAGCTAATATGAAACTGGAAATGCTAGAACATTCCGAACCAAGGCACTCGTTGAGTGCTGGGAAACACACATGGCCAACAGCGTGACCCGGAGCATCAGAGATGTCCTTAGCTCCTGTCTCAGTGGGTGTCCTAGAGTTCCTATTTTTCCTTCCGTTCTCCCATCTCTTGTTCATTAGGTAGGAAAAGACTCGACGATCCTGTCATGAGGGTTGGTTGCAAGAGCAGCTAACATCTGTTTGACGTTCACGCACCAGGCCAAGAACTTTACACGTATGACCCCATCTAATCCTCGCCGCGTCCTTGGAAGTAGGTGCGGCTATTATCCCCATATCTATAGATGAGGAGATCAAGGCTGGGGAAGGGTAAGTAGCTTGCCTGAGTTCACACAGCTAGAACGCTGTGTTGTTGGGACTCACACCTACAGCTGACTTCAGAACTTTTGCCCCGTCACAGTCAAAAGCTTGGAGCTTTCCCGGGCGCCTGGGTGGCTCAGTTAAGCGTCTGACTCTTTAATTTCAGCTCAGGTCATGATCTCACGGTTGGTGGGTTGGAGCCCCGCATGGGGCTCTGTGCTGACAGTGTAGAGCCTGATTGGGATTCTCTGTCTCCCTCTCTTTCTCTCAAATAAATAAACTTAAAAAAAAAAAAAAAAGCTTGGAGCTTTGAAATGTCTCATCATATAATATTGGGGTCCTACAAAAAATTATTTACAACCTAGATATATGTTTTGAAGCATTCAATGAGCTCCTAAGAACCTACACTCAAACTGGTCAACTCCAGCACTCCTGGATCCTCCGGCCCGACATGCGTACCCCTCCCCAGTCCTTGTGCCCCACCATGCCCCCCCCCCAGAGGACTTCTATTCAGCATTTCATGTTTATCATTCTCTCACCTTTAAAAAGCTAGTATTTTAGCACAGAGGAATGCGTCCCTGAGAATATGCTCCTCCAGCAGGAGGAGATGCCAACTACTTCTCTGCACAAGGCAGCTAGGCTCAGCCTCTGGCCTGAGCGGAAGAGGTGGACCTACACTCAGATGGTCTGTGGACTGTCCCCTCCCTGCTCAGGGCCCCAGGCGTGGACATAGCATACCTGAGATAGTCCCTTCGGCAGAGCTTCCGGCCCAGCTTGTAGTAGAGGCGCCGCCCCACCTCGCCCAGCCGGCACCCGCAGAGGTCGCAGCTCAGACAGTCCTCGTGCCAGTACTGGTCGATGGCCTTCAGGAAGTAGCGGTCCCCAATGTTCTGCTGGCAGCCGCCGCATGTCAGCAGGGACGGGGGGATCTGCAGCACTTCATCCACTGGCTCCCTGGAGAGAAGACCAAGCATTAGGGACAACCACATGACAAGCACCGGGGGTCAGGAACTGCTCTGGGCCGAACTGGACAGTTAGGTGCCTGTTGGTGACATCAGGAGAAAGGACGGGGCTCCACATCCTGAGGCTGAACTGCCGAGAGGCCCCCGTTAGCCTGAGTCAGGCCTGGAGGGAGCTAGGTCTCTCCCCCTCCATGCTATAGAAGTAAATGCAGGGCACCAAGAGGTACACCCCGTGGGGGAGGGGGGCGGGGTTGTGGCCCCTGCCTGCCGCCCAGCACTTTCTGGGCCTCTCTGCCGTCTTTTTCTTTTTTCCACTCTCCCCTCCTACTCTCCCCTGTATCTTGGCATTTCTCCTTCTTTTCCTCCTCCCATGCCTAGACTCAAGGGCACTGCCAAACCTCAGGGGAGGCACTCCAGGCTAAAAGAGTTACTTGCTTCAGGGACAGCCCACTACCCAGAGGGCTAAAGCTCTACAAATTCCCTGTCGAATGGACCTGCCATCCTAACCCAAGCCCTTCCCAACTGCACAAAGAGCAGAAGTGAGGAAGAAAAAAGAAAGTGATAAAAAAATTATCTTAGGTTGTTTTGTTTCCCAAATAAAAATGCCATCAGGATATAATAGGAATTCTCATTATCATTAATATATATATATATACATATATGTATATATATATTTTACAGAAATTCCACATCTCATCTTTATTACTGAATGAACCCTTGGAGAAAAATCCCAGGTATTAAGGCCATTGTTAGACTTATAAAGGCCATTAAATAGACCTTTCTGCATGTGAAAATTTTTACAACAGCAAAACTGATTTGGATAAAGCTGATTTAGGAAAGAAAATGAGGAAGGGGCAATGATTATTTTCAAGAGTAGATGGCAATTAAACAGATTCTGAAATCTCCATCCAGGCTTGCTAACAGTGAGCCTGTGATACGTGTTCCCTCCTTAAAAGGTGAGACAGTGTCTCGAGTTCACTTCGCTTCCCTGGAATCGGAATACTCCAGTTTTACATTTTAAAATAAATAATTTTATTTGCCAAAAGAAAATAAGAGCGGAAAGAAACATTTCCAGCACCGAATGGGATACAGGAAAAACCTAATACCTGTTGATTTGTAACAATTAACAAGCGCTCTTTTGAACCTTACTCAAAGGCAAATCTTTTTTTTTTTTTTTAATCTATTATGCTTTAAAAAATGGACTGGCTTCTGATTGTGCAATTCCCAAAGGGAGTTTCCTCCTCCATACCTTGAGGGTATGAATCTTTCTCCTATTTCTAGCTGACACTAATTTGCCAGGTAACCTTGTGCCCTGATTGGTCTGTGCCCATAGAGCTCAGCACCAATTATACTTAGGGACGATGAGACTCACGCGATCAGTGTTGTAACGCACGCACGCTGACAACTCCAGGTGCCTCTTTAAAGTGGTCACCTCCCTGTGAATATTTAGGAATACTGAAACCAAGTCCATGCCTTATAGACCAAGTGTAAGGGTCCTTCATAAGATGATCCCTTCTTAGAATAAGAAAATGTGAAACCCAAGTCAGTTTTTTTCTTAAACTGAAGACTTTAAAGAGTTGTAAAAATTCACTGAAGCCTGACTTGCTTTTCTTTGTTTCCACAGGTTATACATAAGGACTGCCATTCTCCCTTCTGAAAGATAATATCCCCAGCATTTCACATGTGTCAGCTCAGAAGCACATGTCCTCTCTTCCCACCGCCCATGGTCTTACTCGGGCTTCCAGAAACACTCATGGAACCTCAACCACGCTGGATGCCCTGATGCTGATGCTGCCAACCAACTGTGAAAGAGGAGAACTTTCACCTTTCTGGTGCAAAGTTGCCTGGAATTAAAATGATCTGCTCTTGTTACTCACAGGTAAGCGGTAGGGGCCACCCAATGCCTGGTAGAGGAAATCTATCCATTGGTGAATCCTGGCTGGCTTTCTGTCTAAATGTTTCATTTGCAAATGCCTAGGCAAGCTTCTATCTGTAAATTGGAGATGCTGATAGTCAAGGCCCACGTTGGTTTGAGTAAGTAATCACAGCGAAAAAGCACAAACTTTGAAAAGGGCAAACCTTCAGGGAACTGAAACTTCCAGATGTATCTTCCAATAAAAGGATTAGTGGCTAAATTCTGTTGATCGAAAAGGCATTAGGCACCAATTCATCCCATTCACTCTTATTGTATTACTGTGGTCTTGCTCAGACTCTGAAAACTCAGGGCTAAGTTGTCATTCCAGATTGATTAAAAAAAAAAGGGGGGTGGTGGTACAGACCACCCTGTAAACCCTGCATCTGCATAGATAGGTTCTTTTAAAAATGAATGTTATTTTTCTCCCGAGAACTTATTTACGGAAGCTGTGTTTTCCTTAGAACCAACCTAGCCCCTTGTAGACCTGGTGTGAGAGCCTTCAAGACTCAACAGTAATGTTTATATTCTCACTGGATCATGGTACTTCCTGTATTTTATAAGAGCATGCTGAGTGTTTATGCTGGTAACGAGGATAAAACCCACGTACATAAACACCATAGCCGGCTGAAACTGGGGGAGGGGGAGACTTCAATCAGGAAAGCACAGTTCCTTTAAAGCAGGAAAAGAAAAGAAAAGAGAAGACAAATGCGTCTTAAAAGCACAAATGGACAAGTCATTAACCAGCTCCTTTGGTCTGTGTAACAAATCCCTTCAAAGGATTAGATGGGGACTTCAAAGGAATAAAAATTCTCAATACCAGACAGCTAATGAATCTTAAAAGGGCATTTGCGCTGACGGGAAAATGATATCTCAAACAACCCTTTCTCCCCTTGTTAACGCTAAAGAATGGTTTGGAGGTATAGGTTGGGAATAGGGGAACGTTCCAAACCAGGACGAGGCTCTGAAAACAAATGTGGCAAATGCTCATTGGAGCTCTGGCTCCCTGACCCCAAACCCTTTGGAGCCCGTGAAAAATGCTATGAGACACCGCTCCCCAGAGTTCACCTATACACAAAATGGTGCACTAACTTTTGAGGTTCACAGGCCCCCCCATCAGTGGATCCCAAGGGAGAGGGAAATACATATACTCCAATTAACCCCGGATTTAGGGGCTCGAAAGTCTCTGGTGGCCGGAGAGAGCTGCTAGGTGGACGCTCGGACCTCCTCGCCCGCGGGTCCCTGGCGGTACTGGCAGCCGCCCCACCTGCGCACCGCAAAAGGGGCCGTCGGGGACTCGGGAGGCCTCCGCTTGGAATGTCCCCCTTTCCAGGATCAAATGGACAAAGAGAATGGGGACCGAGAAAGCGAGGGGGGAGAAGGAAGTAGAACCAAGCCCGGCACGCTCTCGGGACTGCACCTGCGCACCTCCAATCTCCCCTTGTGCCTGCTCCGGTGTAAACTTTCTGACCCGCGGTGGCTTTGAGGTGCGTCCCGGGTAGCCGAGAAGGGCCCGCAGAGGTGCCAGGCCGACCCCCTCTCCCTGCCGCTGGTGGCCCAGCCCCTCTCCCAGTGCCCCCGAGCCACCCGCGAGAAAGGGGGAGCCCTGCTCCAGGCGAAGGGAGCCAAGGGCACGCTGCGGGCGCGCACCTGAAACCTTCTCGCCCGCCGCCCGCGCCACCCTGCAGCCCTGGGGCGCGAGGCCGTGGTCACCGTGGGTGGCAGGGGAGCCACACTTACTCAGACGGGTCCAGGCTCTTCCTCTCGATGGCTGAGGACATTGGGGAGGGAGGTGGCGTGCCAAGCGGCGGGGGCGCTCCCTTTGTGGCGCGGGGCTGGCCGGCTGCCGGGGCTCGGACCCCCTCGGGTGCTCGGGCGCCGCCGCCGCCGCCGCTCCTGCACCTCCTCTTGCTCCGGCGCTCCGGCGGCGAGCTCGCCCCTCCGCGCTCAAGGACAGTCACCGCGCTCCCTTCAAACGCCAAAGAGAGAGAGCGAATCACCGGGCTGCCGGCGCGCCGCGGCCGAGGCGGGGACCGGGGCGCGCAGCCTGGCCCCAGCGGCTGCAGCTGCTGCTGCTGCTGCTGCTGCTCAGGACTTAACCTTCCATCCCGGTCCCGCCGC